ATGGAGAGGAGGAAGGGGAAGGATTTTTCATAAGACAAGAAACATTTAGTAGATGAAGAATAAAAAAATACAAAAACACTTGACATAAATTATATAGTGCTTCAGTTGTGCTCCCAACAGTATTATCGATATATAGAGCATTCTTTTTTACATTTTGATTCTCAGAATTAGAAGTTCTTAAGGAAATGAGGTGCTACTCACTGACAAACACAGGACTAGAAGAAAAATAAATTTCTTTTCTTAAATTAAGATGGAGTTCAAAGCATGTTTATCTTTTGGCAGTGTAAAAACATAATTGGATTCAGCCTTCCAGCTCAAAAAAATCTCCAAGAGAAGACTTTTAGTTGCATGCAATTCAAAATGCATTTATCTTTTAGCCACAAACAAACTGCTCAATCCAGCTTTTTGCACTTAGTGACCTTCTTCAGGGAATTAGGAACACTGTAGAGCAGAAGCAGCATTTTAAATGACTCTCATTGCAAAGTGGGTCAAAAGCCAGTCCATTGTCAGCAAGATTCCCCATAGCTGAGGACAGAGGCAGTCACACTTTGAAGCATACAAGTCTTTCTTGATGAGAGAAATGTTTTTCACATTGAGAAAACTGCTAGGAATGAAAATTAAAAGTACTGTGTAGTAAAAGAAACAAATCATGGATTAATTTGTGTTACAGAGAAAATACATTGAAAAGCATTATATTTGAAATTAGGTTGAATAAGGAAGGAGAAAATCAGTTTATATATTGGAAATAGTATTACAGTAAATATGAAAATGATTGAAATTAATGATTTATTTAATCGTGGCTCATTCTGTGTTTACTAATAAAATATGCTCAATGTAGGGATTGGTTTTTTTTTTTTTTTCTTTTTTAGTTTTCAATAACAGCTCTTTGCATTACAGTATCGTGAGAGGCACACAGAACAACTGTGCATTGTTCTGACTGCTCTGGATCTTAGGACAAAGTAATGGTCCTTTCTCTGAAAGCTCTTAGCTGAAGACAACAGATGGGTGTACGTAGTGCAGAGTTAAAGGGAAGTAATAAGGGCAAATTAGTAGACTACAAAATATTTTGTATTTTATTTTATTTTATTTTATTTTATTTTATTTTATTTTATTTTATTTTATTTTTCTTAAAGGAGTATTTTCTCACTATTAAATTCCAAAACATAACAGTGACTAGGTTGCTGGTAAACTTAATTTATCAGTTTGGCTCTTCAGGGAAGTCAAATAGCTTTTCAAAAGCTTTTATATTCTGCCTTTTTGTTCAAAGGAATGAAACAACTGCTAATGATGTTATATCCACCCTTCCTTCCTGATGGGCTAGGTTTTATCAGGTGCAGAGAATGACTGTTACACATATCATCTGTACTGAGAAGATGCTCAGCCACCAGTGAAACTTTGCAACTATTTTAATAAAACAGCAAATTATTAAAAATTTCTCATTATTTACTGAAACAAAACAAAGCAGTCCAAACAACCATATTCAAGAGTATTCCATCTTAATGTATTTTTTTTTTCTTTGTGGATTTGTGGCCTGAATCTTCTTAGCATCAAACTTAAATTAATGCTTAACATTTATATGGTGTTCTCTTCCCCAGACCTTAGGAAGTCCAGTGTAGAAAAACAGTCAAGAGCTACTTTACCTGGTATGTTTTTAATGGTGGAATAGTTGCAGCTGTTAACTCTCTCCCGTAGGATTTCTTGTTCCTTTGGTAGAAAATAACTATTTGTTTTAAAGGTCAAACGTACTTATGGTAGGGATTATAACATGTGTCTTTCACCTGTGTTGGAGGTACTTTAACTATAAACCTGAAAGTACATTTATTTCTGTTTTATCTCCAGTCCAATAGATTTTCATTACTATCTGCAGGAATAGGAATGCCCCTTGTTTTGGTTAAACTGAAGGAAATGTGGAAAATGTCTCATTATCTCCAATTTCTAGTGATGAATCTGATTATCCTCTACTGTTTTAGAACTCAAGCCTAACAGTCTGTCTACAGAGATGAGTAGAAATTTATATACTCTTGTGTCTTTCACTTCTTGGAACTACAATGTACTGACCCCCCTCCCCAACTTCTGTTTCCTTTATTCCAGTTATTTAAATGACATCTTACATGAAACCTCTTTCTACACCCCATTTATTCTTCTGCTTTGAGGCAGAACAGTTTTTATGTACAATTTCAGTTTCTGTATGAACTTACTTTCATGTATCTCACATTGATATTGTTTCCATTTGCCCACAACAAGATCTGTCACATCTTTAGTCACTTTTTTTTAATGAGCCCTCCTCCTCCAAGATGCCTCTTTTGTTTTTTCCATCTGGCATAGTTTGTTTCTCTGAGCCTTAGTACTTCTATCTCATTCACAGTCTTCAAGTGGAGTAACTGCCATCTCATTTTAATTTATTTAGGTTTTGATATATTTCATGAATCCTCAAGTGCATCCTTTTTGCAGTTGCCCAGAAGGCTTCTGACTTTTTGTTCAGCAAGCAAAAAGGGAGGGCAGGCATAGTATTGGCATATTATTTTTTTTATTATTTATTTCCATCTTTTCAATTGAAGCTGCATTTTTTCACTTATTTCTCTCTATATTATATTACATTACATTACATTATATTTTTCGTTATACAGTAGATTCTACATGCAGTAGTTGCAGTGCACATTCATTCTCCTCTTGTTCTCGGCAGTTTTACTTACTGTCTAAGATGGATGATATATCGAAGATAGGATTAGGTCTAATATATGAATGTATTATTCACATATAGCGTACCGATGGAGAAACTTATTTGTCTTCCCTTTCCTTATCATATATGAGTTATCATCAATCCCCTTTACCTTACAGGGCTTTTTCTAAATCTGACTCCTCCTTATGGTGCTCCCTATATACTACCATCTGTACTTCTTTGCTGTTGTTTCTATTATTTAGAATTATTGTGTCAAATCACAGCTTTAAGGCAAAAGTTGAAGAAAATCATACTTTTGAAAGTATAGCCTCTGTGTTTCCTGATATGCAGCTGTAAATCTTATACATGTATAACATTTCCATCTTCAATAACTTCCATAATCCTTATTCTGCTTGTGTGACAAAATAGGAACTGCCACCATTATTTGTTTAACTTGGTTATTGTCAGACTCTGTGAAAGCACCATTACTTTCTGAAGGTGTACTATATGTAAGTGTAAGATAAAACATTGTTTCACTGCCGTAAATATCCAAAGCACCAAAGTTTCTCAAACAGTTTTTAGATGTTTGTTTTGGCTGGTGGTTCTTAGGTCAGTACTGTATTGTCTCTAGAGTTTTGGTAAGGATGAGATAGATTTATTTCAAAAAAAGGATTCATAGAATTGGAAGTATTGAACCAGAATGTGCCTGTTGTCCAATTCCATCCTTGAAGAAGCCAGTTGAAGCTCAGATCTAATTTAATTGCATGGACAGATATGTGAAGGTATTTTTATTCAACTGATGTTTTCTCTAGGCTAGAGGGATGTGTAGCATTTCTTAGATTTTTTTTCAGTCTTTTTCAACAAGAAAATATGGAGATAGGAAGAAATCAATTACTAACTCTTTGAGTTAGAGATGTATTCACACAATAATATAAATTAGTGCAAAAAATACAGTTATTTCTATATATTAACTTTCATAATAGCTACCAATGGCTTGGCACTTCATCCCCTTATCATCCATGCTGTTTCATATTCTCTGAGGGAGATGAACTGCAGAGAAGTTCTGGTTTCAGGACAACAGTAAAAGAACTTCAAAATTATAGAATCATAGACTAGCCTGAGTTGGAATGTTCCCGTAAGGATCATCGAGTCCAACTGCTGGCACCACACAGGTCTAGCCAAAAATTCAGGCCATGTGACTAAGTGCACAGTCCAAATGCTTAAACTCCAACAGGCTTAGTGCCAGTTCCAGTGTGCGGCCACCACTGCTTCATCACCAGTGAAGAACCTCTTCACGATGTTTAGCCTAAAACTCCTCTGCCTTAGCTTGACACCATTTCTGCTGGTCCTATCACTGGGGACTGAAGAGAATAGAACGGTGCCTGTCCCTCCACTCCCCCTCATGAGGAAGCTGTAGACCACAATGAGGTCTCCCCTCAGTCTCCTCTTTTCCAGGCTGAACAGGCCCAGTGACCTCAGCCGCCCCTCATACGTCTTCCCCTCTAGGCCCTTCGCCATCTTTGTAGCCCAGTGTCTTACTGACTTGAAGAAAGAGGCTTTAATCTATCCTGGTTTGTTTACCAATGAAGGAGCACAAAAGAGACACCTGTCCTTGTCTCTGAAGAGGAGATGAAGGAGCAGCTAGTGCAAGGAACACAAAAATCAGTTGTGCGAGACTAACGTGGGGTTGTATCTGAGCTTGGAGACTGCAACCCTCTTCAGACTTCCAGATCTAGAGGAACACTTTGGCTGCAGCCTAAAAGCCACACGTAAATAAGCTCCCCCAAGCCAGCCAATCTTCTTCCCATGACCTGCCAGGAAACAGAAATGTAGGCATGTAATCAAGTCAAAGCCCAAACCTTCAGCCCAGCCTTTGACCTGAATAGTGAGTGAGGATCCGGATCCTGGCATTTATACATGATAGTTTATACGCAGCCGAAGTGAATAGTGAGGTCAGAGGTCACTGGGGCTAGGTTTTGAAAAGTCCTACATAAGGAAGACATCTCAGAAAAGCAGATTTAAATAACATTAATGTCAAGAAAAGTAGTTCTGATTGCTATATTCTTTATCTGTGGTGGCTAGACAGATGAAAATCTATGATAGCAAGTTTGCCTTTAAGGTCATTTTCTTTTTTATTTCCTTTTATTTATTTGTTTGTTTATTTTAACAGGCTCTGTACTAATTTTCCTCACAGAATGATTAACAGAAATATGACCCTTGTGCCACCTTTCCTAGTTAATTCATTAGGTCAGCTCTAACCACTAAGCCCCTTGTTGGGTTATTTCCATTAGTGATAAGGAGCAATTGACCTTAAAAGACTGAAGCCAGGTAGAGGAGCCTATTCCACAAGGTCTCTTGGCTCCACCCTTGCTAAGTGAAATCTGCCAGGTGGGTATCATTTGACCTTTGCTATATAGGAAGCATGAGGAGTTATGGGAGGAATTGCCTCCCTAGGGGAGTTTGAGGCTCAGGTTACCAAGGGTGCTTTTCTACTGTCCTGGTGAAATGGACTCAGTGTTCCCCAGTAGGCTACTTTTTCTTTGTGTTTTCTACCATCTCTGTGAAATAGGTTCAGAGACTCTGTGAGCTAGTTACATTGGTGGTTCCTTCTCAGAACAGGAAAACCCTGGTGGTGCTTCTTCCCTGTGAAATAGTTTGGCAGTGACTCAAGTTCAAAAGCTGGCAGGTAAGTCTACCTGGGTTCTACAGTTGTTTTGTGTTGGGGAGTTTGAGTACTTCCTTCACCTTCTGTTTTTAGTGAAGTTACTTACATAGATTCTAAGCTTCCTTCCCAGCACTAAAAAAAAAAAAAAAACACAATAATAATTTAAAAAAAAAAAAAAAAACAACCTCAGAAGCTCAAGTGTATGAGGTAAGGTAAGGCTGACTTTCAAGAATGTTTTTAAGTATTTGTTAAGACTGTACAGCAGGCTGTATGAAAAAGGTGCCTTACTGTGAATTCAAATCTTGCTTTGTAGTAAGAAGAAACAGATTTGGGTAGATACTGGTGGCGTTCTCATTACTTTTGTGAAGTGTCAATTGTGAGAATGGGCTGTAGGTAAAAGAAATATTGTGAAAACAATATGTAAGTCAAAATCCTTTAGATTACCAGAAGCTGTAGCTTCACAGAAATAACTTTAAAGAAAGAAACTATTGCTGGACATTTCCCCCTGACCCTTCTGTAGATTGGCTACCTGAAGAAAAGACATGAGAGATATAATTGTAGTTTCTGAGGTAGGGTCGTGGGACGGTGTTTTTTCCTACTTGTTCTCTTTCCCTTTCTTCTCTTCCAGGAGTGTTATCGGTAGCTTTCCAAAACTTTGACTATCCTTGGGATGTTCAGACCAGCATGTTCTTATCGTTATGTCTCCTGAACGCACTTTGTGTTTTGTCTAAGGTGAAACAAATACTTAAGAGTGTCATCCAGAGATCTGTCCTGAGGCAGGGTAGTTAGGAGTGGCAGGGAGAGTGGGAGGATATGGGCAGGCATCTACAGCAGGGAGCACCTCCACTGGAAAGTCCATGCAGTGGATGAATTGGCTAAACAACTCTGGCAGTACAAAGAAAGTCTCTCCTCTTCCCTACAGGCCTCCGTCTCAGCTTTGGAGAAACTTTCGAAAAAAGGTCCACCAGCTTAGAGAATTTATCTTCCTCCCCACCTGTAATAACTAGTCTCTGAGGTATCGGGGATAAACATCCTTCTGTGCAAGGAAGATGACAGAGTGGGTACACAGCCTGTGCTACCCTGTAATTCTGATTGCTATATTCTAACATACTTATACATTATACAAAATTTGAGTGCTTCTGACAAATGTACAAGAAACCAAGGGGGCCCATTGGTTTTCAGCATGATTCACAGCACAGAAAGAAAAACAAAATAAAATAATGATAATATAATATTATGAATATTACATTTTTGTGTGTGTTTTTTATGGCTCAGACTTACCAAGTTGCCTAAAACTATGGCAATGTCTGTATTCTTCTATGTCCCTTCTGCCCCCTCCTCGTTGTCTTAAATCATTATGCCAGCCTAAAATATTGAGGGTGACTTCGGGTAGCAGTCTAGCTGTATAGCACAGATGGGCAAACCTGCTTGAGACCTGGCAATTAGCAGGTGTTGATTTATGCTGAATTAGTATCACAGACCATCCTGAGTTGGAAGGGACCCACAAGAATCATAGAATGGTTTGGGTTGGAAGGGACCTTAAAGATCATCTAATTGAACAATTTTGTCGCATTCCTACTACTGTAGTTATGTTTCAGGTTTACTCATATGAAAATATTGGCCTGTTCTCTTGTCAGTAGGGCTTTTCAAGATCTGTTGTCTGCATGGTCTCCAGTGATTTCAGCAGGAGTAAGCGATGAGCTAATGCTATGCTTTCCTAAACACAGCGACATTTCCTGGAGATAATATACGCTGAACAGAACACCTTGAATAAAAGCGTTGGAGAAAGCGGTGTGTTCCACTCTCTGCAAGTCTACATGCTCTGTACTTCCTTCCATCTGTGCAATGGCTTACTGGAGGTACTGCAGCTGTTTAATATAGCTTTGTACGGCACAGTATCAAGGAATTAGTGAAATACAGACTCTTCTGCACTAGAAGTGCTGTATTTACTTATGATACTTTACTGTATATCAGCTGCCTTCTTTATTATATCTGGAGGAAAAAAAAAAGTATGCAATACACTTGGCTTGTTAGTCTGAGAGCTTTTCTACCTTTCTGTCCCTTGAAGTCTGTATTTTTCCTTCACAAAATTAACGTAATTGTCTTCTGCTCAAATATGTGGTGTGAAATCTCAGCTGTTACCTAGTAAGGGATGTAAGGGATTTTGGGTGGGGTTCAAGACTGGCAACTAATGCTTACTGGTGTTCCATCCTCATATGGCAATAGTAATTAGACTCTTAGCACATATGTGGACTCCTAATTGAAGTCATTCTAGTACTGGATGCAGTTCCATCCAAGAACTGTCTCCCTGTTTACAACCATTTTTATATGCAGCATGCATTATGACTCATGAATCTGGTCCACTCAGCACTGATGACATGAATTTGGTATAACCTTCAAATTGTACAACTTGTCTAGGTTTTGGATTACCAAAGAAGAAACACTTTATCATTTTCTTATTATATCATTGCAATATGTGAAAATGCAGTGTCAAAGTCACTTCCTACTCGGCTGCAATAAGAACTCTTATCCTGTTTTCACCACTTGGAAGAAAAGAAGTCTTAATCTGCTCTCACTTCTGTTTTGATCCTCCAGTCATTGACTTGACTTTGGTTTGAAAGATCAAAATGGACACTGAAGGTTAAAAATCTAAATGGAAATGAACTGAGTCTCCTAAATGCTGTTTCAAAACTGATAATAAATCTAGCTGTATGAAATACTTGATAGAAAATGGAAAAACACTTCAAATGCCTTACAAATTTCATTGTGTATAAAGTATAACCATTGCTGTGAGAAATGTTAAAACGTGACTTGTTTTGAGAATGCATGTTTTTAAGCAAGTTGTAGGATAATTAGAAAAGTTAATACACATTTTTTGAGAAGTTACATATATATATATATATATATATGTACTAACTCCTTTCTATTAAGCAACTTCACATAAAAATTGATTCACTGTGAAGTTCACAGTTCATTCAGATTTTCCACATATATAAAATAGGGAGACATGTTAAAGTAACTTTTTTACAGCTGTTTGGAACAAAATGTCATCCAAATTTTTATAATATCCACTGGACAGATTTTATGCAGTGGGATTTTATATATTTTTGTAATCTCTTAGAAATGTGACCAGTGTTGAATGTGACTAATCTACATATAGATAGTATAAATTAACATACTTAAAAGATCTAAGAGCAGGTTTCAAAGGAATCTCTCCAGAGCTAGATATACATCCTTCAATCATTTTCAGAGGCTTATTTAAAAACTCAAATGATACATTTTTCTTTTAGATTATATTAAACAAAATAAAGAAGGCAGACTTCTCCCATGACAAATAGCTACTGTGCATAACAGTATTTCTCAGGCACTCCTTCTTTCTACACAAGCCTGTGAGACAGCGTGACCTTAAGTTCCTGATTAATAAATCAAAACTGCTTTTAGATATCATATGCATTGTGACATTTAGAAAAGGTGGTAAGATTAGGAATGATTTCTTTGTATTGTTTCCATACTTACCAAAATGTCTTCCCCTAGCGAGCAAGAAAGATTATTTATTTCTGTTGTAGACTTCAGTTCTCTGATCATCCTAGTTTCAATCATGAGAAGGGCAGAATGATGATGTCTGTTTCGAAGTCCCAATTACCCTCATTTATATCAATGGAAAGTTTAACTCCCATTGAGGCTTCCTTTTGTTTTAGATCACTGAAACACAATCCAAGCACTTAACTCTATGGAAGCAAAGGCCGTTCACCTTTGAGGTTGATGACATATTGTGTCTCACTCTGAATACAGCCCAAAGGTTTGACCTTTCTTAGCAAGGTACTATATTGTACAGACTTGTCTGTGTCTTTCCCACTGGGAGCTTTAAATAGGAGCCAACTAATTATCGTTTTCCACTTTTAATTATTCCACACTGCAAATTGGATTCTTGTGACATAATATCAATTAGGTGGAAAAAAGTGAACTGCAAACTTTTGACACTACAAGATTTTGTCCTCTGTCTTTTGAGAGTTGGTAAGCATTGTAAAAGAAAAAAGATTCTTTTAGTTTTGCCTGTGCTATTTTTCTTTAGCACAGACTTAAGCTGGGAGAAGTCTGTGGCTTCATTTTAATAGAGAGGGAAGATAATGGGATATGGGAAGTTTAATTTTTCTTTGAACTATTCTGCCACACTTTTCACAGAATCACAGAATGGTTGAGGTAAAAAGGGACGTTCTGAGATGATCTGGTTTAACTCCCCTATTCAGGCAGGGCCAGCTTGACCAGGCCACCCAGGATTGTGTCCAGGCAGGTTTTGAGTATATCCATGTTTCTCAGTGAACTGGTATCTAGAAGTGTGGTAACAGTTATCAGTCACAGAAGAAATAAGAAATGTTTCTTGACAGTGTAAATAAAAATCTTGACTGCATTATGTTTTTTACTTTAAAGAAGAAAAACTGAGGAATTTTCATGTCATGTGAAACTTTAGGCTCAGAAATAAGTACAGAAAGTAATTAACATAATTTTTGGTAAGAAGAAAAAAAACAAAGTATTTTGGTGGTAATTTTTTTCCCTTTTCCCCTTTTCTTCATTTGAAATGCAATGACCAGAATCTTTTACTGCTTGGACCCCAGGACATTTAATGGGATCTGTAAGACTTTTTTTTTTCTCTCTCTGTCTCATACCCTTTTATGTTGTCTAAAATGTCATCCTGTTCATTTAAAAAAAAAAAAAAAAATCTTAGTTACTTTAAGTCAAAATACATATTCCTTCAGAATGATCTGCTTTCAACCAAGTCATGTTAGATAACTGTGGAAAAGTATATAATTAAGAAATAATTACCATTCAATTAGCAATGTTTTATTCCGTTTGGCAACATTCAGTTAGTATTTCTAGTAAGTGACTGGAAATAATTTCTTAGATTTATGTTGTTGTGGGACAACTGAATCATGTGCCATATATATTACATAGAACTTTTGTGAAAGTTCTAGAGGGACTAGAACAGCTAGAAAACAACTGAAGTGAGCATTGTACAGCTTTGA